TTTGAACTTTTAATTCATAGAAAGCTCAAATTGCAAAAATTAACTTGTGCTAACATTTGAAATGCGAGAATTTGATTTGAGGCTATAGGCAAAAAAGTAGAAGTCAAACTTGCTTTCTTAGGGTTAGAATTTAGAGTTTTATACAAATTATCGCCAAAATTAGGATTTTTAGGTTTTCGTTTGTTTTCACGCAGCCTATAAATTGTAAATAAAAAAAATATAAAATCCAGGTCCATTCAGATATACACAGTTCTAGTTATATATATATTGTGTAAAATTCCACGATCATTTGAATTTTTAACCCACCAATAGGCATGGAAGGTGAGTTCAAGAGTATCTCTAAAAATTCTCTATTTTAACTGTTTAAAATAAAGGGTGGATTTGACTCTCTTAATTTAGAGGGCCAAACTCAATCTTTATTTTTAGAGCTTGTTTGAGCCCCCCCCCCCCCCCCCCCCCCTTTTTTGAAATAACACATTTTGGAATTATATTTGATGGAGAAAGTGTGGTTAAAAAATAAGAAAAAAATTTATATTGACATGTAATATTATTTTATCGAAAAATGTGTAACTGAAAAGAAGAGAGAAAAATGTATTTTGAAAAAACATATGAAAATCAAACAAGGGCTTAATTAACAATGATTGTATTTAATAAAATACAAATTTCAATACTCTATAATTTAAATGATTTAAACTACATTTGAATAGATTGACCATTAACATATAAAAATAAGAAAAAATCAATAAATGTTCATTGAAAAAAATATTATTGAAGTGCATAAAAAAATTCACTCTTTAAATTTAAATTTAAAGATACTTTTTAAAAATGAGAAGTCTTCAACCAAGTCCAACGTCCTCCCACCACAACAAATTTTCCTCTAAGTTGGACTTGGGGCATATCTACTTGTTGAGCCCGTAGGGCCATGCCGGAGGTAAGGACATTGGCATTGCTGGCTGAGGTTCCGTGTTCGAGTCCTCTTACCAGCATGGTGGTACTGTGCCTCTCTAAAAAATCCCTCCATACATGTAGGGCCAAGCGGTGTATACTAACCCGTAGGGCCAGGCCGGAGGTGGGTTTCTGGAGTATGGGGCCGCAGTGCGGTGGGGCCAGTCACTTTAAAAAGTTTACCTTACACAGTTTTGCCCCCAGGGCATATCTCCCAGTGGCAAAGGGGAGGGCGGATAGGGCTCAGCGCGGCAGTGTGCAGAGTTCGATTCTCCGCAAGGTGGAATTGACTTTGTTGCAAGCGGGAGTTACCATATGGGTTAACAGCCTTGGCCTATCCATGTGCTCTCCACCCTGGCTCCTGGGAGGCACATCCTGCGATTTACCTCCTCCACGATGACCCAGGGCAGGATCGGTGGGGGCCCCTAAGGTTGGGGTTCAACCTTTTTTTTTTTACTTGTTGAGCCCGCCCCACATATTATGTTTTTATTGAAAATGCAATACTTTCGAGTTTTGTTTTGTAGTATTGTCTCCAGAGCACGTGTTGTTTAACTAATAATTGCGGTGACAGATTTAGCTACCAGGACCACGTGATTTGAATACCATCCAATAATTGGAATACTTGTTGCACACTTGTGATCAAATAATTTGGACAATCACGTCTCACTTTACATAAATGTCCAAATAATTTTTAATTTTTTCAATATGACTCTATTTAATGTACCTTATTATAAATATATACCGTGCATATTTGATAGTGATTTTTTATCTCAAAAAATTAATTTTTGACCGTTATTTCACTATTCCAACAGTCATTTTTGACTTCTTCTCTCTCAAGTAGGGATGTCAACAAGCTGAGTCGAGTCGAGTCGAGTCGACTTGTGAGCCGAAATTCAAGGCTCAAGCTCGCTCGGGTAAAATGATCGAACTTTTTTCCGAGCTCAAGCCGGGTCGAGCCGAACTTTCAACTCGAGCCTACCGATGTGCCCGATTGCCATATCTACTCTCAAGTAGGATTCACTTTTCTCTCTAACAGTCAAAAAATCAATTCTCAAAATTATTATCGAACAAGCCCATAAACTAATCACATTTATACCATTATTTAATATATGGGTATATTAGAAAAATACAAGCAAAATTTATATTTTTGACTATGTCAATTATATTTTCATAATATAGAAACAAGTCGATCCTTATGGGATGAAGGTAGTACTTATTGGCATGTGTGGGAGCTATAATTGAACATTAATAATTTCTATTGGTAAGGTAAAGTATATTTAAGAGGCAACATGTTTAATCTATTCAATTATTTCTTTAGCCTTCGTAAATGTGAACAAAAGGCATAATAGAAGTGAACTTTTAATAACTAACTATGAAGATGCTCTAAGAGTAGCCTTGATAACTTTATTTTATTAAGAACATCAACCTTGTCAATCATATTAAATTGTCGTACGCTTGACTCAACTTGAATAATAGTTTGTTTATATTTTGAATCGTGATATAAAAAAAAAAAAAAAGAAAAAAAAAAGGGCACGTTACGAAACGTTTAATTAATAAAGAGATCATAAGACCTCAAGTTTAACAAATCAAACATGTAGGTTTTACTGTAGAGATTCAACAGCCAAGTGGCATTAATTCTCACGAGAACCCAAATGAGATCGTGCAGCTGTGCATCTAGCGCAAGTTTGGTACTCAAAACTACACAATATTATTCAATATAACAAAAAAAAAATAGTCTTATCCAATTTTCTACTTCAAAAATGACAATGATGTTTAATCAATCGACTAAACATATTGAATCTAGCTCAATTATATATGTGTAATCACAAAAAAAGAGTTAATTGTACGGAAAGATATTTGTTGAGAGCAGTTATGTACAATGATAAGTCAAACATAATTTGTTATTGGTCGAGTACCATGAAATTGTACAAAAAGTTAGATTCCTATTAAAACAAGGATTTTATTCATCGAAACCGTTCATCCTATTTTTAAATTTGAAACACTCATTTAACAAATAATCGTGACCTTTAATTTAAGTTAAACCAACGCTCAATATATATTTCACTATAATCATGTGAGAGTTTGTTATAACCACTTGAATAAAGTGTTCGTTTTATTCATATATGTTATAATCCACGTATTGAGAAACAGAATTGCATGATTGACATAAACCCTAAACCCATCCATTTAAGCGTTTTAGTTCTTTCAATTTTAGATTCGATTTACTATAAGTGAATTAATCTACTGATTTTTTGACATGTCGGACTCATCATCAAATTAGATAAATCGACTAAAGGATACACGATTATGACTACAATAGTACAATGAAACAAACAACTTTGTAACTTCAGCAATCATTATGTTAGAACAAAAATACAATGACTAATGTCACACATTTCAAAAGTTCAATATCCCATTATCTAGCAAGTTTAAACTTTGCTTCAAAATTTCAACTTTAAAGATTTTGTTCACGTTGAAGTGAAATAATGAAATACAACTATCTAGTTGTGTTGAGATTAGTACATTGTCACGAGAATATGAGTCGGGTGCGAATTATTCACTAATTCACTTGAAATGACATACTATAGTGACTAGGTAAGACAATGGCAAGACGTTATTAGACACGAGGTATGATCAGCCTCCAATCTCCTCTGACCTATGTATTGGACTACTTCCATTCATCACGTCTCCATTTTCGGTGATCAATCATTCTAACACTTTCTCATCTACTTTCGACTTTAGATATTTAGCTGGAGATTGTAACTAGATTTATACGTCAGGCATCCAAATTATTGTTTCGTCTTCAAATTATTTAATTAGTAGTTTCAAACGAATTTGCTGATAAAAGATCCAAAATTGTGAAACCCCAACTTATTTGTTTTCTCCTTTGTAGTTCTACGCGAGAGACCCATAGCCGATACCACGTCTTTATTTGGTTCATTGAGTGTAAACATTTCATGATAAGGTGCTCATTTTTGTTCCAAACACTTGGGCGTGGTAAGCCACAATATTTTTCTATGAGGAATAAAACAAAAAATTGAAAATTAGAGAGTAAAATCAATGATAAAGTCGTTTTCCAGATACTATTTTCATTATCTTTATAATGACATTTAGAAATTCTCCTTATTTTTGTGGCTGCTAAAAACGATGGTTGAAGTCACTATTTCTACGAGTCACGTCGAACTATAATTCTTGGCCTCCTCATACCACAACGCGGCGGGACGAGAAGGAGGTCATTTACATCCTTCCAGGCCCATTAGAGGTTTTCGGGAAACGGGCAGGGCAGGGGCGGGACCTTCCTATTTAATTAAACATTTATTTTTTATTATTCGATTAAAATTGGAAAACATAAACTTAAAATAAAATAAAAAATTTCGGAGCATGTACGAAAAATTGGAGCAGAAACTATGTTCTCTCTCTCCCTCACGACACGTTCACGATTCTAGGACATAAAATTTTGTATCTCTACTTCTGGTAAGAATTAATGACAAAAGAATTTCTCGGGATTGAGTAATTGTATTTAGTACGTTTACGGTAGTAGAAACGAGTGTAAGCATGTGCTGCATGTCATTACTCGAATTAAAATAAAAATTAATCTCAAATAATTTTGTTAGTCATTGTATTTATTTATAAATTAGTCAAAGTGGCATTAAATTAAATAAAAGATATTTAATTAAATGACTCACTTAATTTTACCTTTCATTGAGCCTATTCATCTAAATTTGTTTTGTAATTCCAATAATGCTAGATTATCATTATTTTATACATTATTAACCAGAATAATGTTATTCAGCACTATTGGTATCAAACACCAGTTTAAGCGACAATTGCATGATATTGAATGATAGATTCATTTAAATTTAATGTCACGTGATTTATTTAATTGAGAACATGTTAGTCTCCCATTATGAGGGAAATTATAGAATTTTAAATATTATTTTTTGAAAAATGTGTGGTTAAAATTTAAAGAAACTTTATTGATTCATGTGTACAATATTTTATTGTGTGAATATATGATGGAAAATGTTATTATGGCAAATAGTTTCTGACAAACATGGACTGAATATATCAGATGTGTTCACTAAATTGGGTCTAGACAATATTAACATAAATGCCACAGCAATAATAGATTCGATTCAAGATTCACATATCAAAAATATGCCCTTTGATTCATCTGCATGCCAATGGGATCCACAGCCAGTGCATCGATCGTGTCTTGTACATTACAGTGGGTCCAATCAAAATACATAGCATTATTATTGAAGCCTGGATGAGAAATCTGTGTCTATACCGCACGTTGGAGAGCCAAACGAAGAGTCCTTACAACTTCTTTCAGCGACAAGCTGGATTCTTTCTCCATCTTCAACAGAACAAATTAGTTTTTAGTAAAAGTAATTTAATTAAAAGCAGGAAAAGAATACTATCATCTTAGAGATTAATTATTACCTCTGCATTAATGGTAATATCAAGAGCAAAACTTCCAAAGGATGAGGCATTCACATTGACAATTGAGAGATGGAGCCTTTCTACCTCAGCAAGTAGTTTTGACAGAATACCTTTGTGCTTCTCACAGTGGATTCTCAGAAGAATGTGGTTGTTGCAAACTTTAGCTTCGATTTCCGGCAGCCCTGAGCTGTTATTCTCGTCGGAAGATCCATCATCTTCCACTAAGAGCTTTGATTTCTTAACAAGCACCACAGATTCCACAGTTTGTTTTGCTGCTTGTTCCTCAAACGCCTTCACACGCTCTTGAAGGTGTTTCACATACTTAATGGCATCTCCCAGTACAGAAGTTTTATCCACCTGCAATACCCATAATGCTCAATATATAACAATCTTGATTCTTGTGGCTTTTATAGGCAAGAACAAGGACCGGTACTGGAGAGTGTTAAAGATCAAAAACAAGGTAAAATCTTATCTATGGGGAGATGAATGGACTGCATCAAAACCAAGGAACTATGCTTATATATACCTTCTTGAGGCCCGGAACTAAGGCTGAAAGAGCAACAAACCGTTGGCTGAGCAGCTCCCGACGCTTTCTTTCGGCAATTATGTGATCATAGGTTTGAGATGGCGGCCTAACACGACCATTTTTCTTTGTTGTCTGTGCGGTTTTTATAACCTCTTCAGGGCTTCTCAAAGCTTCAGAAACTGCTGCCTTTTCTTCTGGATTCAAGGAACTTAAGTTATATTGCTGAGGACTTCTTGTAGGAGAATTCGAATTGCTGAAATTGAGAATGATCGGAGTAGTAGAAGCAGCTGATTCGAAATTAGGCATGCAATAGTCATAATAATTATTAGGCTTCTGCTGTTTAGGCGGTGGTTCAAAGGAAATTTGAGGTGGCTCCATGCCTGGGGAAGTGCACAAGCTTGAGATTGAGCTGCAACTTGGAATCAGATTCAATGAAGAAGAAGAGTTGTTTCCTGGGGATAAATCTTCTCCAAGAAGAGCATTCAGTTCTTCATCAAACGTGTCCAGGAAATCAATTTGGTCCTCAAATATTGAATTATCCATTACCTGTAAAGCAATTATGTTAAAATGCAGCAAAACACGGTTAAAATTATTCGTATAGTTTGTTAAGGTATAGTTTCTTACCATTTCAGAGAAGCATGAGGCTGCTGAGATATCCATTATTGATGCTTGGTTTCAACTTGCTGAGTTCCTGCACACAATGAATGAAAATAAACTACAAATGAACGACAAGTAAATTGCATAAAGAAAATAGAAGAAATGGACTCCTGTGAAGGAGGTTAATCTGGAAAAAAATAATAATATGCAGATAAGTTTATTTTTCTTTATTTCCTCTTTCTTTTCAATACTTTTGACGCTAATGAATAGAAGACAGATATCTGAATGTGAAAACAAGCTAGTTTAGTCCTCACCCTTTGTGATGGACTGAGTTGTAGTCTAACAAGGTTCTTTCTTATATAGAGATCCAACTAAAAAGATTCATCTTTTCTGGTCGGTTAGAAAACTTCAATCTTTTGTGGTGTACAATTTTTGGCAATTACGTAGTAAGATGCAAAATCTTCGTCTGCTACAGTATTGAGTGGCCTCGGTCCAGATGCTTCCTTGCCAAGGGCAGCTGGTATTGTGGATTTTTACCTTTGGTTTTGTTTTAAATTTATTAATCTCAAAAACAGTTTTTAACTTTTCAAAAGTACACTATACGCATCGAAATTTTTTGTCATTGATGCTCTAACTATTGTTGGCAATGACTTCTAGTGAGAAAGTTTCAAAGGTAAAAGTCCTATTGCTAATTATCAAAAATGAAACTTAACGAACAGCCCGCTACAATCAACAAAGAAAAAGAAATTAGTTTTGAGAGTACAATTTTTTTTTCTTGAATTTCTATCATAAATTTTATTTTATTTAGCTTGTTTGAAGCTCATCAAATTCTCCAAACAAATTGGTATTAAATATTACTTTTATAGCATTTTAAAATAACGTGCATTGCACGTTCAACTTTCATTAGTTTTAATCAAAAGTATGAAAAAGTATTTCTTAATAAATAATTAAAAATATATATATATATATAGTTTATATAATGAAATAAAAATTTTAAAATAGTATAAAAGGATAAATGAGACGTATGGTAAAGCACCTGTTATGAAAATGAAACTGGAATAAATTTTCTGGTGATTCTTAAAATGAAAAGGAAATATCTCTATAATTGTCCTATACGTAAGAGGTTCCATAATTTGTCCTATATTTAATTTCTAAAAAAAAATAGAATTTCCATGTTGCCTTCTATAAAGCTGCAACTACAAGTAAATTATTTAGAAGGGTCCACGATCGCGGACTACTGCAATTTGTTTCTGATCATTTCCCAATATTTGGGTGATTAGCCATACCGTTTGTTATATCATGTGGAGCAAAAAATTTATTTTAATATTCATATTATTTATTTACACATATTATTTAATGTCACGCTCCATTGTGTACGAGGTCCCCAAATTAGGAAAATATAAACAATAATACATCGGATATGATTCACACAATCTTCCTCTTTTTATTATTTTTGGGTTAGGCACATGCTAAAAGAATAATTAATAAAAATTGAGCCTAGAAAACTTTCCACATCTAAAAATAAAAGTTGAATTGCAATCAAGGTATCAAACCTTTCATTTTAGAATAGATTTTACCTAAATATTTCATTTGTACCACCAAGGCACCAAAGCTTTCAAAAATTCACACCCAGAGACTAAATGGATGTGTTGGGTTTTGATAGCTAATAACTCCTTGAGCAATGATGTTAAATTGTTAGTTATTCAATCGGTATCAACCAAATAATTGAAGTTAAATATCAATACCTCAAAATGGAACGACCTGAGCCTATAACTATTTTGGGCCATTGGAAGTAGCTTAATTCAATTAGAATTGCTCATGACCCAACCCTTCACTTCTTGGATGGCTTTTGGTGTTTGGCCCACTTATTGGTTATCTATTATTGTTTCCTTTTTGGACTTAATCTAAAAGCCTAATATATCACTACATACGGGCAGTCTCTTTGCCTTGAGAAAAATGTTATTGCCTTGAAGAAAAAAATACCTGCTTCTCTTTTCTATTTTGTGCTATTATCTACCTTCATTTTTCTCTTCTCTATCCGATTCTTTCTTTTGCCTTTGTGGTTGCTGTGCGGCGACAATAACCTCTCACCGTTGTGTCTTTGTGGGCAATACAAAAGTAACCGGAGTTTGGGTGAAAGTTGTAAGAGATTGAGTTATTATTTGGTGGTGTCGATCTTGGTTGGTTTGATAAAACAGAGCTTGGAAGACTTTAGTGATTGATTATTTTCTTTACATTTGATATCAAAGTCTTAGGTATGTGAAAATCTGTGTTTTGGGGGTAAAAAACTAACCAAAAACAATCCAAGAAACATAGCAGAAAATAGAGGGAAAATTGTTCGATTTTGAAAAATTTCTGTCGGACCTATTTCTTCATTTCTCATTGAAACCACTTATCTGTTGGATGAACAGAGATCACCGACATTTTTAGCAGACCAAGGCGTACCTAGGTGGGAGGCATTTCACTGTCGATGTGTGGAATTTCGATGACCACGCGTGTGGGCACGTGGGACCTCCTCCGAAACAGTTTCTTCAAGTAGTTTCCTCCGGACAACGAGATGGACCTTGTGGTGGTTTTCCTTTTCAGTTATTGGTGCTGCTTGGACAATTTTACCCTTGTGCATTTAGGATTCACTTTTTTGCTCGATTGGTTGCTGTAGTTGCTGGAGACTATATAACAAATAATGGTGATCCTAAAGTGAATTACTTGTTCCAATTTATGGAATCAGATTGGTCCGCTCCAGTATATTGAATTATTCCAATTTAAATTTCAACATTAGCACATCATTGTGTGATGTGACATTAGAATTAAGGTTATCATGAAAGAGTAACCTTTGCTTGTGTTAACATACCTTCGTGTTGCATTGATTATTATGTTAAAACACTTGGACTTGACCCGTTTAGACATTTCCTTGATTTAGGATTGCGAATCTTACAAATTTGGGAATTTATAACGGTGTATACTGCGCCTTAGGATTACTTTGTATAACCTATTTGCACTTTGATTGTTATATTTTCTCAAAATGTCTTCACATTTCAAAGTTGAAATTTTTAATGGGAAATGAGATATTTTAATTTGACAACAAAAGATGAATAAGACAAAAAATTTCAAAAGTATAGATAACAAATTTTCTGCAAATTTGACAGAAACACAAAAAGATAAATATGATGAATTTGCTTACACTTCAATTATTTTACACTTATTTGACAGTGTTTTGAGGAAAGTTGAAAAATTTGACTCTACAAGAACTTTTACAAAAGTTGAAGGACTATATTTACTTAAATCCACTCCTAATAAGTTTTACTTACTTGAACGGTTTTTCAATTTCAAAATGAATCTTTCAAAGGATCTTGATTTAACAAACTTGTTCAAGATATTGTTTAACTGTGATGAAAAGGTATCTAATATGTACAAAGCCATTATTTTACTTAATTCTATACCTGATTTATCTAGAGAGGTTAAGAATGCATTAAGTATGGTAGAGACACCTTAACAACCAAGATTATCATAAATTCCCTTAAGAGTAAGAAGATAGAGATTAAGACTGAAAAAGAAGATAAGATGAGTGGTAAGTTACATATGATGAGGAGTAAAATGAAATTTAAACAAATGAATCTGGGTAGAGCTCAAGACAGTAGTGATTCGAATAGTGACTTTAGTGATGAGGGTGATAAGAAGAAGGGCGAGGGATGGGACAAGTCTAGTGATAGACGGTGTTATAGTTGAGGTAAGGCTAGACACTTTATTAGAGATTGTCCCAAGAAAAAGAATAATCAGAAGGGTAAAATGAGAGGTAAGGCGAATGTGGTTACGTGGTCGAATGATGACCCTAGTGAAATTTATCGAGAGTAAACCTAGTTACTGCATGTGCATCTGTGTGTAATTCTTTCTGCATATATGTGATTGCTTAATTCTTTTACACGATTATATGCTACATTTCAATATGTTTGATATGTGCATTTAAATGAATTTGAGGCAATATGATTATTTTTTGTAATTATTTGCATCCATAATGGATTGTGATACGTTAGTAGTGTATTGTATGTCTATTGGTGAGATAGAGTAAAGATGTCTAGAGGTACATTGGTGGTTTGTATAAAAGATGTGGAGCGTGACATTTGGATCACGAATGAAGAGGTAATCAAATGTCTAGAATCATTTTTCTGTGACTGACCTTGATCAGGTGGAGTGTGAGAAAGACATTTTTATCACTTCTATTAAGTGGAGACATATTATCCACTTAGATTGGGAGAAGTAATGTGGTGATAGAGGATTATCCTAAGAACTTGGGATCTATTATGACTTACCAGTTAGACATGAGTTGAGTGATCAATCTAGTGAGCATGGTGGGTGATGAGAGAAGATATGCATTCTCAAAGTGTGAGCAACACGGAATGAGATACGATAAGTGAGGTGAGATCTTTTCATATGGTCATTTATGCATTTATTGCATGTATTTTTTGACCACTTGATTGATTAACTTAGTGCTAATCTGTTGTTATATATGAACGCTTTTTTGAAAAGATTTGTCGATTATCCTATGTTATATCACCATTGCATGATTATTTGTCCTTAAATATTCATTGTGATTATTTGCTCCTACTTGAATGTTTTTTTACCTTAGTCCTGGTGAGTACATGGAGCAGGTATGATATGTGTTTCAGGTTCGAAATACTAGGTAAGGTCTTTGATCACAATTTTACTGGTTACCTTGATTATGCAAATACTAACTGTGTTTTGATTGCTTGCAGGTTATTGGGTATTAAGGTGGAGATTTTATTCGATTTTGATACCCAAAAACTCCTTGAACAATGATGTTAAATCGTTAGTTATTTAGTTGATGTTGACCAAATGACTGAAGTGAAAAATCGACACCTCAAAATGGAACAACCCAAGCCTATAACTATTTTGGGCCATTGGAAGTAACCTAATTCAATTAGAGTTGCTCATGGCCCGACCCTTCATTCCTTGAACGACTTTTGGTGTTTGGCCCATTTATTGGTTTTCTGTTGTCTCTTTTTTGGGCCCGATCCATTACTTAACCTAAAAGCCTAATCACTATATATGGCAGCCTCCTTGCCTTTAGAAAAATGTTATTGCCTTGAAGAAAAAATATTGATTGCTCTTCCTCTGCTTCGTGCTATTGCTTGCCTTAGTTTTTCTCTTCTCTATCAGGTTCTTTCTTCTACCTTTGTGGCTGCTGTGTGGAGACAATAACGTCTCACCTTTGTGTCCTTTGTGGGCAATATAAAAGCAACCGGAGTTTGGGTGAAAGTTGTAGGAGATTGGGTTTTTATTTGATAGTGTTGATCTCGGT